TTTCATTTTAAGCACCCTTCACATAAGAACCATTTCAGGCTGAAATGTCAAAGTAGGTTCTTAATTCCCAAATATAAAGTCAATCTGCTTTATTTTCTTGTAAATAATAAAATACAGTACTCTGTATTTTATTATTTACAAGAAAATAAAAATCGAGGTTCTTACACGCGGGGTTTTACTGTATTCGTTTTATGAGGGTAGAAATGAATAGCTCTGTAGCTATCAAACCTGTTGCCCTCGTGCTTGACCCCGTGTTTGAATAGGAGCATGCATTTTGTGGTAGAAAACAGTCTAAAAAGAAAGCCAGTCGGTACGGCTAATAAAGAGATAACTATAACCTTATTTTTCGTCTTCTTATAAGTCTAATAAGTTCGGTAAAGTTCGGTTCATATCTCAATGCCGGCCGCAAGTGATGCTAACAAAATCTTTCACTCATCATCAGATAGTTATTTATGTTCTCGTTTTTGAGAAAAAGTATATATCACTGCGATTGCTTCTTTTTTTCTATTTGAAATAGTTTACTTTTGTGGCTAAATGTTCCTTTTCATGTATGTAATATAAAAGTCGTCCGGTTTCCAAGATACCGGAAAAAAATGTCAGTGTTCAATAGCGCAGCGCAGCCGTGACGTCATAAAAACGAAGACAAAGGCGAAATTCGGACAAACAAACTTACGAGTTTACTTTCAACAGATAATTTTCACGACCGATCGCAGTTGATCTTAGTTTACATGGGTTATCATTGTAACTTTAAGTAAAAATAATAAAATCGGTTCGTATAATCCTCAGTAGCGGTTAAACAGAATGCAATGTTTGTCCGAATCTTTAAGCTATTTTTAGGATCAGTGCGCTGCGCTATTCGAACGCTACAACAAAATCTCGGAACATCTGAAGAAAATGAAATTCCAGTTAAAAATACGACTAAATATGACGATATAATTGCCTAGTAATTCTAAAAAGAAAGGAAAATCTGAATGTGTAAACAAAATTCAGTTCAAAAATAAAGCCGAGATGCCATCTTGGATAATTCTTATAGGCCAACATTGAAGCAAAAAAATTATTTAAATGTTAAAATCAATCCCAAAAACTTTTAGCTAAAGTCAGCTGGAGCTAGCATAATCTTATTTTTAGAACAACGAGCAATTTCCAAGAATCGTTGTTTGAAAGAATTGCACCCGAAGTAAATGATGGCTCGTTTCCTCATTTGCACAACTACCAGACCGAAACATAAATATCAAACCGAAAGKTCGAGTTTCTTTCTTCTTTGTCTTCTTAATTTTTCAGTACATAGCAGCATCGTCATTCCATGGAAATTAACACAACTCGAATTTTACCTATTGATAACTGGAAGGAAAAAAGAACTATACTTATTTAAGCTTTTGTGGATCGTGCGAAGGAATAACAACATGGTTCAGTGTCCACGCCAGGCCACAGTAAAGT